TTTCCTAATTAGACGGGGAAAATGGTTGTACAGCTTTTACAGCGTGAGGAGCTTGATGATTTGACATAAAAATGTTGAAATTCAACTCCATTTTTTTTTTTATTGTAAATTTGGAATTTTCTACTGACGATAGACGATGATGATGATTTCGTTTAACCATTACGAGGGTCAAATGAAGGTCAATGAGGGTCAAACGTCAATTAAACTTTTTTGACCCTTTTCACCCTTGAGAATAGAAATCTGAAAAAAAATTCGGAAATTGTTTTTTATGATAAATTCGGAATTTTCTACTGACGATATAAATTGACGATGATTTCGTTTAACCATTACGAGGGTCACATGAAGGCCAATAAGGGTCAAATGTCAATGTCAAAATTTTGACCCTTCTGACCCTTAAAAATAAAAATCTGGAAAAAAAGTTCAGATTTTTTTTTTATGGGAAATTTTGAATTTTCTACTGACGATATAAATTGATAATGATATCGTTTGACCCTTATGAAGATCAAGTGAAGATCAATGAGGTTCAAAAGTCAATATCAAAATTTTGACCCTTTTCACCCTTAAAAATAAAAATCTGACAATAAAATTCAGAATTTTTTTTTTATGATAAATTCGGAATTTTCTACTGACGATATAAATTGACGATGATTTCGTTTAACCATTACGAGGGTCAAATGAAGGTCAATGAGGGTCAAACTTCAATTTAATTTTTTTTTACCCTTTTCACCCTTAAAAATAAAAATCTGACAATAAAATTCAGAATTTTTTTTTTATGATAAATTCGGAATTTTCTACTGACGATATAAATTGACGATGATTTCGTTTAACCATTACGAGGGTCACATGAAGGCCAATAAGGGTCAAATGTCAATGTCAAAATTTTGACCCTTCTGACCCTTAAAAATAAAAATCTGGAAAAAAAGTTCAGATTTTTTTTTTATGGGAAATTTTGAATTTTCTACTGACGATATAAATTGATAATGATATCGTTTGACCCTTATGAAGATCAAGTGAAGATCAATGAGGTTCAAAAGTCAATATCAAAATTTTGACCCTTTTCACCCTTAAAAATAAAAATCTGACAATAAAATTCGGAAATTTTTTTTTCCCCCCACGTGATGAGTTGAGATGAATGACTTGTATTTCGAATAAATTTGAAATAAATATTCGATTGAGAATTGAACATTCGACTATTTCACTGAAATTCAAATCGACAACGTAACGGAAATGAGAGAGGCACCCGCATCATTTTGCCGGAATATCACGTACCCGAGTATAGTATCCTTATCAGGAGATACGAAGAGATGAAGTGAAGGGAGATAGTTTGTGCGTCGATACGTATGAAACCATCGAGCCATGATGGCTTTCGTACACGTACCGTGAGTACCTTCGGGGTAAAACGAACCTCTGTTTCACCTTGGGCTTGGCTCCAGGCATCTGGGGTCTACATTGTACCCACCCCAATACTGGGTACGTAAATTACCATCTCTTTGATGATCGCATTAAGCAAAAATGCTACCGAGGTAATTATGGTGGCGTCTAGGTGATGCCCGGGGATTTTCATATTTTGGGAATTTGCATTTTTATGGGTTTCCTGAAGGAGATGAAGAAATACTATTATAACTTTTTTTGCGAACAAGTAGATTCTGAAATGTACGACTGTCAGTGATGAAGCGCAAATTTTTGGAAAATGTAGAACTTACAAAAATCTGATTTTAGAATATCAGAGGGTCAGGGTCACTGACGAAAAAAAACAAGTTTCAGCAACAATTGATAACTTGAAAAAAAATTCGCTTATATAAGGGTCAGAAGGGTCACAAAAAATTTTTTTTTCTCCAAAATCGTTAGGATTTGAAAAAAAATTAGATCTGAGAATATCTAAGGGTCAGTAGTTTCGAAAGGTTCACTGATAAAAATGTTTTTTTGCCCAACAGAGACTCTTCTGACCCTTATATAATAAATCAGAGACTGTAAAAAATTCTATTTTTTATTCTCGATAAAAATCCTCAGATATTGCGTCCTTGAATAATGAAAGTGGGTCGCAAGCCTAATAAACCCCAGCCGAGAAGTGAAAATAGCAGACGAAAAAGAGAAATTACGGGAGAATAGTATTTCGAAGGCCGCGAGAGGATGAGGATAAAAGGGAGTGAGAATGGGTTTCGACACTTCCTTCCCCGGGCTCTACATCGTGAGTGGGTGGTATTCATGTAATCGACGAGTGTCGTTATCACATCCCCCGGGGCACGGAGAGGACTCCCTGCACCTCAGGGACTGGGGATGTGACGGGCATTTTTTCTTCGTCACATGACAAATGAATACTGCCATATGGCACTCATGAGTCTGTGACTGAATCTATGTCACAAAAAATTTCACAAAATTGAGAATACATAGAAGCTCGAAAAATGTGAGTTTTTACTGCTGCGAATTATGCCGTCATAATTAAAAGACTTCCATGACCGTATACCGTCCGGTTTCTTACGGATTTTCGCTTTTCCAGCAGCATATTAATTCCTAATGCTTCGTCCAGCTTTCGAGAAATTCAAACCCTTTCAGAGGTGTTCCCTCGCGGCCATCGATCCTTCTAGTGACCACGCTCAGCGCTCTGTGACAATCGACGTGTGACAAAATTTACTTTCCCACACGGAAAAATTTATATTTTGAAAAATACATTTAAAAAATATCTTGAATTGGCCCAATTTACATATAAAAAATATATAAAATATATGGTTCATATATATTTTTCTTATATATTCATTATAAATTTGAAAAATATATGGAATTGGCTCATATTATCTATTTTTTAAATATATTTTTTGATGGGGGTTCAAATATTCGGGAGAGGGTATGATCATAAAATACCAACTAACGCGCAAAAAGCCCAATGAAAAGTGTCGGAGCTCTTTTTACTTTCGGTTTTTCGTGCCTTTGCTCTCCCGTAATGGACAATTTGCTGTTATTTGTCGCAGCGAACGGGAAATTGTCGACGCGAGGCGATTCGTCTCTTGTTTGGAGGTAAAAACAGAGTCTCCTGTTGAAAAAAACTAGTTGACATTTTTCCGATGTGATTTAGAAACTCTGGGGGACACCAAATGTTCCCGTTTTTACCTGACATCGTGCGCAAAAAATTCTGTCTCCCACTTGAGCTTTCAGCGGAAATGAGAAATGTATGAGATAAGAGTGAAAAATTCGGCGAAAAAACTGCCGTGAGGATGAGACATTGAATACGCGAGATATTTTTAGTTTCTGTTTTAGGAAACGCTTGGGGGGAGAGGATGTTAAGGGCATTGAGAGCATTAAGTAGGAGTTCTCATGGCCTTGAATAATGTTCAACAATAATTATAGAGTTTATTTGTTGAGGTGACATTAGGACATTCTGCGTAATTTAGTGATACAAAAGACGGAAATATGAGGTAAAAGTGTTTTGGAATTTTGTAGGAGGGTGGGGTAAAACGGGATAGTAGAGCGAATTTCGTGAAATGGGAGGGCTCGGCAGAGAGGTCAAGAGGGGCAAATGGGAGAGCCGAGCAAATGAATCGCTCCACTCGTCGCTCCCATTTGACCTTTAAGAACGTTCGACCCTTGTGATTACTCTCTCATCTCTCCGGTTTAACCCTCACGGAAATTTGACCCACTAGCTGGCTCTCCCGTTTGACCCTCAAAACTATTTGACCCTTCATTTTTCTCAGTAATGGAGGTGAATGGGAATTATTGAAAGGGGCAAACCGTCTTGAGGGTGAAATGGGAGAGACGAAGTGATCGCAATAATCAAACCTTCTCAAGGGTCAAATGGGAGAGATAGGCAAATGGGTCAAGAGGGTCAAGTGAAGGATCCTTCCCCTCGTCTCTCCCATTTGACCCTTAATTATATTTTTAAATAATAAAGGTGGAATAAAAAATTATCCAAATTTTACGCTAAAAATCTTTCAGAAGTCAAAAATTCAGCGACAAGTGGCTATTATGGCTGTACACATTGTTACACCGAAGTTTGCAAATAACAGGAGTTGAGATTGAATGCATCTAATTCCAGTAATAACACCGGGCTCCAAAGTTTCACGGCATTGTGGTGGCAGGAGCCGTGTTCCGTCATGGGGGTGAATAAAACCCCCGTGGCGGCGGTCACAAAATTACATATCCGTTGGATCCATCCAATTGAAAAGTTTTAGGGCATTCTGTCGGAGTAATATTGTGTCCAATGTATCCCCCTAGATCCGGCAACTAACGACTTGTAAAGCATAAAAATGCAAATGAATTTTTTCATCATCCGAGTTTAAATAAAAAAAAAATTACGTTGAATTTTTTTTCATTCTCGTGTTTTGGTTTCACGCATTAATAAAAGGTGATGCGGATTCGCCGGAAGTTAATTGTCAGTTGATAAATATAGTCACGAATAAATATGCATTCGCGAAAATATTCATGTGACTTTTTTCCCTATATTTTGCGGTTAACATTTTTCAAAATGTCAAAAAATCGTGTGGAAAATTAGGAAATAGGGTCACGTGTCCACTACAGGCTCTCGATTTTTTGGAATATTAGTCGGGTATTAGGGGAACATCTCCCTATTCATCCCTCATATCCCTCCAATAAACAAAACATCAGAATTCAGGAGCGATTGCCCATCTCCGAACACAAAGCACAAAAAAAGCATAAAACCCCCGCATGAATAAATTTTTAATGTCAGATTTTATTATCATTATCTTCTTTCATTCCTCGAATACCCGCAAATCCCTGAGTTCATTCCCCCCTGCAATAACTCTCACCCCCCAACATAAGTAAAACTTTTCTCTGAATCTCCGCGAATAAAAAACTGTAATGGAATTCTTGATTCCGCAGTCTGAAAAATTCAACAATACGTCTTTGAGACTAAACTTCCGCTCGAGTTCTTCCATTCGCGTTTAAAATGTCCCATCAGCGAATAAAAATAAAGCCCTTCCTGATTGAAAAAAAAACTCCAAAAAATTCATTTAAATGATTTTCAATTAACAATGAAAAAAAAAACTCACCTTTTACTTCAGCGAAGCGCAACAGTTTCCACCCGAATTGCGAAAATCCGTCGAGAGTTGCGTCTCATCCACGTGAATATCGGCACAAAATTTTTTTTCCAAAAATATTTCAACCGATTGTTCGAACGAGCCGCAGAATTCAATATACTATTCCCTCACAAATCCGATTAATCCGTCTGAATTGTTTACACCGCCCACGAATTGGTGGTTAATGCACGCTCTCTCTCGCGGGGCGTTAGTCCGGCGCGTACCGTGTGTCGACGCTACCCAGGGTTAAATGGCCAGTTGGAGGAATACGTGAGTGGCGGGCACACAAGAAACCGGGTGGGGGGGGAGGTTGGGGAATGGTGAAATTAAACGAAAAAAAAGCCCGCGCGACGCAGAGAGACAGACGAGCTAGCTCTGTCCGGTCCGGTATTGTAGCACCGGGCTTGTACCCCACTACAACTCGGGTGATGGAGCATGCGCGCCCCCCACCGCTACGCAAGACGCCTCGTATCCACTCGCTCTCGTGTTTCCTTTCTGCTTCTGGATGTATCTTACTGGTGGGGAGAGGGACTGTTACTACTAGGCTCGTTCGACTTTTCTTCTCTGGTTGGGGTGGACGAGTGGTAGCTACCACTGAATTGAAAATTTATCAAGAGACTGGATGTAAGGAGGAAGAACAATTGGTCTCAGTTCGTTCGAGGGTAAATCGAGGACCCCTGTGAGGGTCAATATTTGAGTATTGAGAGTTATTTGAGGGCCCTTATGAGGGTAATTTGACCCTCATGAGGGTCTCATGAGGAACCTTGACGGTAATTTAACCCTCATGAGGGTCAAATTTTTCTGATGGGGGTCCTTATACGGCCCTCATGAGGAACCTTATGACGGTAATTTAACCCTCATGAGGGTCAAATTTTTCTGATGGGGGTCCTTATACGGCCCTCATGAGGGTCAAATTACCTTCATAAGATCCCTCATAAGACCCTCATGAGGACCATATAAGGGCCCTTGTAACGGTAATTTGACCCTCATGAGGGTAAATTGACTATCATCAGGGTCTCATGAGGAACCTTATGAAGGTAATTTGACCCTCATGAGGGTAACTTGACTATCATCAGGGTCTCATGAGGAACCTTATGAAGGTAATTTGACCCTCATGAGGGTAACTTGACTATCATCAGGGTCTCATGAGGAACCTTATGAAGGTAATTTGACCCTCATGAGGGTCTCATGAGGAACCTTATGACGGTAATTTAACCCTCATGAGGGTCAAATTTTTCTGATGGGGGTCTTTATACGGCCCTCATGAGGGTCAAATTACCTTCATAAGATTCCTCATAAGACCCTCATGAGGACCATATAAGGGCCCTTGTAACGATAATTTGACCCTCATGAGGGTAACTTGACTATCATCAGGGTCTCATGAGGAACCTTATGAAGGTAATTTGACCCTCATGAGGGTCAAATTACCTTCATAAGGTCCCTCATAAGACCCTCATGAGGGCCATATAAGGGCTCTTGTAACGGTAATTTGACGGTCCTCATGAGGGTAACTTGACTCTCATAAGGTTTAAAATTTCAATATTGACGTTTGACGTTAAACGACTCTCGTAAGGGCCCTCATGAGGGTCAAACGTCAGTATTGCTGATTCATCGAAAATGCATTCATCCCCTCGGCGTTTTTCGAATAATTGTAAATATTTGCAGATGAATTTTTATTTTTCTGTTTTATTTTATTCTAATTTATTTCAGTCTTCTTTTATTTTATAGAGAAACAGTCGTCTTTCTCCTTCATTCATCATGGAATTTATTCGTCTTTTGACTGTAAAACAACTTGAACAACAAATTAATGAATTTTAAGAAATTTTTTTTTTCATAAAAAATACATTCTTTATTTTTTTGTCATTCCATACATAATGATGAGACTTCCTCTTTGTTAATTACATTTTTTTGTCGCCAAGATTTTTACACTTCCTAGGATTTATTTTGCATATATTAAAACACGGTGATAAGGGTAAGACTGGTTGAGCCCCTGATTTCAATAATTTATGGGCACTTGGGGCAAAAAATTGTCGAGGAGATACATAATAGAGCCCTGAGGAATGTCTAGACCTTTTCTAAATTTTTTATCAATAGAATGGAGAAGGTCGTTTGTGGCTCGTTGGACGTCTGAGGAGAATTTCCGATACAATTATCGGTAATCCAATTATTCAGGCGGATCTTACTGTTTTATAATGATCGCGATCATTATCCATCTTTAAATTTAAGCTCCCGACCGATTTACTTCTTTTTTTTTTATTTTTATCTTTTTATATTTGCATAGATTTATCACAAATGGCTGCACATGCATCAAAATGTTCGATTCATATTTGCTTAGTCCGCTTTCAGTTTCTCGTTTTTTCAGCATTCGAAATTTTATGAACCGAAAACGAATCGCATAAGGACCTTCGAATGCCCCTCATAAGGGTCGAACATCAATATAAAAGTTTTGGTTTCGAAATGATGAGGGCCATTATGAGGGTCGTTTGACCCTCATGAGGATCACGTGGGGCCCTTAGGAAGGTTATGTGACCCCCATGAGGGTCAAAATTTCAATATCAACGGTTGACCCTTATGAGGGTCACAGGTGAGACCTTATGGGGGTAATTTAACCCTTATGAGGGTTAAAAGTTGAATATTGACGTTAGACCCGTATAAGGGTTAAACAGCCCTCGTAAGGGTCAAACCATACTCTTAAGGACCCTCATGTGGCCCTCATAAAGATCGTCGTTCCAATAGCAGTAAATATTTATAGATGAATTTCCATTTTTTTTAATTTTATTTTATTTTAATATATTTAATTTTTATTCTATGAATAAAAAGTCGTCTTTCTCCTTTATTTATCATGGAATTTCCCTTGTATTCTGAACTGCAAAGTTCAAAACTCTAGATGCTATCAAGTTGTCAGAAGATTCTAATAATGACTTTAGGAATCCCAATACAAAGTTGAAAGTATGCAGGAACATCATTAATAATTAAACAACTCGGAAGCCATTTATTAAAAGATAAATTACCCCCTGAGGTGATTTTTTTCGTTGAATGAATGAAGAAAACAGGGGAGGAAAATACGTCAGAGATTAATTTATAAATCGCCGAAGAAAATTAAGAATGTGTTAGAGAATCTTTCATAATTAAAATAGTTCCAGGGTATGAATTATTAGTTTCATGTTCCCGGAGGTGTTTTTTTTTTCCATTCGACCGCATCCCTGAGGCCACAGATATCGTAAAACTATTTGTAATTGAAATCTTCCTGATTCAAATGATTTTTCGCGAAATGTTGCTTCGTCATTCATCCATTTTAAGGGTCAATATTAAGGGCCCTCATGAGGGCTACATCTCAATATCGATATTTTGAGCCCCAAAATTATGGAGGCCTTTGTGAGGACCGTTTGACCCTTATGACCCTCATAAAGGACCTTCCTGGGACCCTCCTCAGGGTCACGAGGGGCATAAGGGTCAAACGATCCTCATGAGGAGCCTCATGAGGATCGTTTGACCCTTATGACCCTCATAAAGGACCTCCCTGTGACCCTCCTCAGGGCTAAACGCCCATGTTGAAATTTTAACCCCTTGACGTTTGACCCTTATGAGGATAAAAATTTTAATATTGAATCTGATGATCGGAAATTATTGAGTTCCTAATTTTTTAATTTCTAATGAACAGCGGAGTGGAACCTCCGAACAGTTAAATTCCCCTTTTTCCCTCACCTTTTTCGTTTCCTTCAGCTGTCGTAAGAGGTGGGGAAGAGAAATGGATATGAAGTAGAGAGCACTATAGAATATTACTAAAGAAATAAATTCTCAGGAGGCGAGTAAAATAAAATTCCCGGACCATATTTTTTTGTTTTTAATGAGAGTGGAAGCTCTTAAAGGGAGATAGGAGGGTAGTTCTCGGGAACAATATTGTCTTGAGAATGTTGCATGTAGATTCCGAGATTTCTTTGTCAAGAGGAGTGGAAATAAAAAATTGATGAGGAAGGGGGAAGAGAGGAAGGATAAAATGACTTCACGTATATGGGTCATACATATTGTGCTTCTATTTATTAATAGCGAAAGGGTGGAGATGGGCTAGGTTCAGTGCCCACTGTCAATCGTGATAACAATCATTCTGGGGTGGAATATTCGATTAAGAATGGGCGAGCGTTTTCTGGTCAACTGGAAAATTGATATTTTTTTTATCTAAGCGGGAGGGAAACTCAGACATGACGAAATATACGACCTTTTGTTATTGACGTGTGTCTCAATTCAATCTATCTGATTTTCTAAAAAAATTAGTTATCAAAAGGGCGTAGAATAAATATTTAGGTCTTCTTTTACTTCAAAAATTCAAAAATCCTAAATTAAAAAATTTTAAAATTCACAAATTAAAATTTAAAATTCACTGTAACATTAAATTATTAAACAATATGATAATGAATCCTGGGGAGAAATCCACATGTCTCCAATTTTCCAGACATTCCCCGAATGAAATGAATAACATTCAGAACCCTCCGATATGTGCGGAATCAAATAAAACAGACGAATAGATATTACAAAAAAAATAAAAGTCGAGCCTCAAGGGGCACTTAAAGGTGGAAAAAGGGATCATGAGTTCTCTCGGATTGTCTGTAATGACGACGAATCCTCTCATCTTCACGGGCTCCTACGCAGCTGGGTCAGAGATCTGAATGGCACAATAACGAATGTCTTTCATCCCTTTTCTTCTTCCCCACTTGAATATTAAATAGAATGGGGCATTTAAAAAAGGTCGGTTTTTTCATACTCCCCTTGTAGTGTCATCAAGAATAGAACAGAAAGACTGGGAGAGGGAGTGAGACTGATACCTGTTGCCGGTCTGACGCTCAACGGTACTTACTACTCACACCCACGGAGTGACCCAGTAACTTTTGACTTCACGCTTCAGGGGAGGTTACAACATTTTTCAATGTGAATGAATAAAGTATGTGTTGCTGATTATTTATTTACTTACCGTAAGGTAAGAAGACAAATATCATGAAAAAAAATGTGCATTTTTCGGGAGAAGAATTTAACTCGTGACCTGAATTGAAATCACGACCTAAATTTCGGTCGAGATAGAAATTTAAGTATCACCGCAAATTCAAATCCAGATACCTGAATAGGATATCGATAGTTGACCCTTATGATGGTCACATGACGGTTCTTATGAGGATCATTTGATCCTCATATTTTATGAGGGTTTCATGAGGGTCAAATGACCCTCACGAAGGTCAAACGTCAATATAAAAAAGTTCACCCTCAAAATTAGGCACTGTATTGGAACCGTTTGACCCTTATGAGGGTCAGACAACTCTCACAAGGGCCTTCGTGTGACCCTCATGAGGGTCAAACGTTAATATAG